AAAAAGACGTGCCCGCTCCTCCTCTTTCGATTGGTGAAAACCGCAGGTAGCTAGGTATTGCGGTTGTCGAGTTATTGAGCTTACACTCACCCCTCTTTTATTCTGGCGCGGACATTAGTTGCTAGGCACTGGTAGTTATTACTACTCATTTGTTACTAGAGAATGGTAAGTGGTTAGTTTTACTATTCTGTAGTACATACACATGATCAAAGAGTTAGTGTGGGAATTTTAAATGAAAAAAAACAGCAGTCTCACATATCGAGGAAATCGGAGAAATTGGAGAAGTGGTTGGAGATTCGGGAGAAGTGGTAAGACATGCGGGAGAAGTCACGGGAGATGTGGGAGAAGTGATGGGAACTGTGGAAGAAGTGGTGAGAGATGCGAGAGCAATGGGTGTGGAGTGTAGGTGTGGGTGTTGGTGTGAGTGTGTGCGTGGATCTGAGCCTGGGTGTGTGAGTGTGAGTGTAGATCTGAGTCTGGATATGTGCCTGTGAGTGTGGATGTGAGTGCGCAGTTTATATATTGCTTTACCTTAAGAGGAGCCAAAGACCCATACCCATACCCACACACCCACGGTCAAACGCTTCTCCAGTCATTTCTCCCGTGTCTCAGACCACTTCTCCCGCCACTTATTCCTCATTTGCCATCACTCCACTTCTCCCACACCTCCCTCCACTTCTTCCCCATCTCCCTGCACTTCTCCGGCATCCCCGATATCCTGAATATGTGGCACCTCTCGAAAAAAAGCATCTTCTCCTAATAATAATCGAAGCCATAGTGACAGGATATGTAATAATCTAAGTGACAACACTCATTGTTATGAGTTTCCTCATGGTTTTAAAAGTATTCTCACAGGAACTTCTCAGCAATGTCTCAATGGTACGGTATACCGTTAACACAAATATCATTCTTTGTTGATATTTGATGAGAGCAGAGAGAAAGCTTTTCTTTTATTTACCGCAGCCACCCGATCACAAACTGATATACTGAACAAAGATAGCTTGTAAAGCATCTTATATTGAACACATTTTCATAATCAGACTATCGGCATTAGATGCTATATAGAAATTTTCTGAAAGATCATTATAATGTTGTTTTACCTAACATAAATTGATTTTAATGAACATTAAAGAAAGTTCACTCAAGTTTGATTGTATACTGTGCACTATATTATGGAGTAAATGGATAAAAATGACTCTCAAATGCTTACATAGTAAGCAGAAGTCACTACTAATAACATTATATGTTAATATATCATATTGACTTTATTTTAAAAATGGCAATATATATGAGGAACAAATGTGATCAAACAAGATATTTAAGTTAATCGACTTTCTAATTGCTTATAATTATTAAGAAACTAAGCTTGAATTTTGTTATTTCCTTATTGTATCTCTTTTTCTCTTCACCAGATATAAACATAGTTCGTCATTTTTCTGCGCTTGAAACAATTTTTCTTTATTTTCTTTTATTTTCATCCAGTAAACAAAGAAAATTGCTTTTTCTCTCTTTTTCATATGTTCATTTGCGTTCTATCTCATTTGCAGTGTACTTTCCTTGGTTAACTATCGGTTTTAAATTTTAGCATATATTAATTATCAATGTATAGTTTTGTATACGTAATACATGTCCTTATTGTGTGTATGAGAATAAATAAATCTAACTGAGATCAGCATGTTGTATGAAGAAAATCTTTCAACGCGAAAGAAAGAATAAACGTAAGATAGACAAAAAAGAAACGTCAGAATCACTTGTCAACAATTAGAAGAGCAGTGTTCTAATAATTGTTCTTGAGTCAAATTGTTTGATGATGAAAGTCTGATACAATCATACTTATAGAATGAATTGTCTAAGATGATTATAGTTTCACTTTCAACCAATTATAAAAATAGCTTGAAGTCTTCGACAGATAAAGGAGCTACAGAAAATCGCATCACTCAAAAGGAAAGCATATATAAACATTCCTGTGAAGAAAACACTCATTTCCAGAATAGACTGGAAGCTTTCGATAATTTTCAATCCCTATAGAATATCATTGTTGTTATCGATTTAATCTTCCTTTTTTTTTGAATTTTGATACCATGAACTGATTCAGATAAAGGTAATGTTAGAACTGTCAATCGATGATAACATTGTCAGACGTTGCTATTTCGATTCTAGTTTTGCAAGTACGAGAAACTTGTGAGATAACTACTGGTTCGTCATTTTCTTTCACCAATTTTTGACTGGTTTCGTCTTAAAACTCAAGTTTGAAATGATTATTTTTTTCTACATGTTAATATTCATTACATCTCGAAAATAAGAAGAAACAAACTTAAAAAAGGATAATCTTAAATTTTACTGCATGTCAATTGAGAAAAAAGTGGAAAATGTAGTCACTTGTATTCATTTAGACGTATCTTATACGACTATGGTTGATTGATCCCATTAGCCATCTATATAAACCGGTGCAGTTTTTCATACTCTTTCCGAATTTGATGTCAGAAATTCAAAAATCGATGCACAACAGATCGAAAATTTCAAAATACTTACACTAGCGTCATCTACATAGATAACAAAGATATTAGTAAAGGAAAAAAAAAACTATTATCCATCAAGAAAATCCTCGAGTTTCTGATAAAATCAAGTTCTGTCAATGCAGATAATATGAGCAGAACTGTTTGTCACTGTATATACAGCGCTGATCTCAGGCGACGCGTAGAGCTTGTTCTGCTGTCGCCTGAGGATTTTTTTTTTGTTTTCTTTCTTATTATTTTTTTTCTTACATATAATGGATCAAGTATAACGTTAATATACAGTAGAAGTGTTTCAATAGTTGAAAGTTAAGATACTTTTTTATGTGTATAACGAAAAGAATTGTTTCATAATATGAATAGCAATAACCTACTCTTCATGTGTTCAACCAATACAACTACGTTCTTAATCAAGTCAAATTTTAGCTATTTTTTTCAATGCAAGAAAAACTTGAAGTTCAAGTTAGAGTAGCAGAAAAAAATGGGATGAAAATTAAACTAATGTATATAGTGTATTAGAATCTTCATCACTGAAATCGGAGTCGACATCAAAGATTTCTGAGTAATCTTGAGCATTGGTTATTGATGTATAGTATAGTGATGATCGTGGTTGTAATTCTTTTGGAATATATCTTCTAAATGAAAGATAGTGCATAATAGACGCTATATGTGCACAACAGCCTACTACTCTACTTCCATTTGGACAAGTGTAATATCAGCCTGTAATATTCTTTGAATCATATTGAATGTAGGCATCATATTTGACATTAGCTTTGTGTCTTGATTGGACTGTAGCCTCAAAAGATCACTTCTTGGATTAGCTATTTTAACCGAATGAACTCCATCGGAAGCCATATGCTCGGCAATGTAAGCACGAGCTTGTTTTAATTGATAAACTCCAAGAGGTAGCTCTTGTAATTCGTTAAGACTCATTCGTGGAAAATTCGGCGTTGAATTTGTCATATTCATCGGTATCCATTTTAACTTCTTTTCAGTATTACTTTTAATATTTTGAACAAATGCTTTGATTTTGTTGGTTTCATGCATTAATGTTAAAATTTTTTGACCAATCTCTTGGCCTTTACTAATATCTTTGACAAATACTGGTCGATAGCGATTTATTATAGCGCAGACAATTAGAAAATCATCACTAATTTTGTCAGTTATAGTATTGGGTACAATGTGGTCAAAAAATCGCCACTGTTTTACTCTTCCGTTTGCTGATTCGATTACCCAACGAATCTTAGTTATTAATCGGGTTTCATTTGCTTGGATCTTTGCGAATTGTTTCTCATCTTTTCGTAAAAAATATGGCATTTTAGTAGTATATCCAAATTTTTCAAGATCTTCCAAAACGTCACGGAAGCCCCTGTCGACAATAAGTATGTCGTTTGCAGCCAACCGATCTAGTATTCCTTGTTTGTTATTGTAGATTATATTCTTTGTTATTTCAGTATCATTATTTTTTTCATCTGCTAGATATAGCCCTATGGCAGAAATGATATAACCATCGGTTGAGACAACCATCATAGGTTTGACGAGCGGTTTATTTTTATGGAGACTGTAAGTTCTTCTTTGGAGCAAGTTATTAGCAGATTTTGGTATGTAGACGTAGGTACCATCAAGTATAATTATTGCTTTGTTAGGATCATTGTTGGCTAACAGCTGTTGAGCCAATGGACGTGTATCTTCTTTGAGAACTTGCTCCCGTGTAATATGATCAAACCCAAGATATGTGGGTACGAAATGTTGTTTGAGCGCGATGTTGGCACTGTCAAGTATCCTACTTGATGTTTGCTGTGAAGTCCGAATAAAGTGCGCAAAGCTCTATGACTGACACCTAATCTCAATTTAACAAGGAACATAGCAATGGCAGTACGTGATGTTCTTAGATTAGAAGTTCGCAGTTTCGATCGTGGTTTATGAGAACAAAGACCCTCAAACTGGTCACGAATAATTCCCATAAGTACTTGGCAAGCTTTTTTCGGGAAACACACTTTTGTATCGTCGAAATTTAACGGTGGATTCTTAACCAATTCATTGATTTTTGAACAGTTTTTCTGAGTTCGTTTTTCATACCTTTGGATAGATCGGTCAATTTTTCTCGATGAATCCTACAATACCTTGTTTTATTTTGCTTAATATTCTCAATTGATTCCACTTTCAAGGAGTCATTAGATATGTGCTGTGAACAGCATCGAGTTTTATTCAATATATAAATATGATGTTCCAATAAAGTATATAAACATACAGAAGAATTAATTTCAATGGATCGATTTCGTTGTACATGGAAGGCAGCATCCCAAACAGCACAAGATTTGTTTGACTTTGGGAAGCGATAAAGT